GCCATGCAGTCAGGTTTACAAACATTTATGAAAGAATGGGTCATTCTGAAGAGCTCAGTGAATTCAAGCGTGGTGCTGTCATAGGATGCCACCTTTGCAATAAGTCATTTCGTGAAATTTCTTCCCTGCTAGATATTCCATGGTCAAATGTAAGTGGTATCATTGCAAAATGGAAGCGTTTAGGAGCAACAGAAACTCAGCCAGGCAGTGGCAGACGATGTAAAGTAACAGAGCGGGGTCGCCGAGTGCTGAGGTGCATAGTGCGTAAAAGTCACCAATGTTCTGTTGACTCAATAACTACAGAGTTCCAAACTTCCTCTGGCATTAACCCCAGAACAGAAACTGTGCACTGGGAGCTTCATGGAATGGGCTTCCATGGCCGAGCAGCTGCAAGCAAACCTCACATCACCAAGCACAATGCCAAGTGTCAGACGGAGTGGTGTAAAGCACACTGCCACTGGACTCTGTAGCAGTGGAAATGTGTTCTGTGGAGTGACAAATCGCACTTCTCTGTCTGGCAGTCTGATGGACCACTCTGGCTTTGGCGGATGCCAGTTACCTGCCTGACTGCATTGTGCCAACTGTAAAGTTTGGTGGGGGAGGGATAATAGTATGGGGTTGTGTTTCAGGGGTTGGGCTAGGCCCCTTAGTTCCAGTGAAGGGAAATCTTAATGCTTCAGCATACCAAGACATTTTGTGCAATTCTATGCTTCCAATATTGTGGGAACAGTTTGGGGAAGAGGCCCTTTCCTGTTCCAGCATGACTGTGCCCCAGTGCACAAAGCAAGGTCCATAAAGACATGGTGAGTTTGGGGAGGAGGAACTTCACTGGCCCACACAGAACCCTGACAACAATCTCATTTAACACGTTAGGGATAAACTAGAACAGAAATTGTGAGCCAGCTGTTATAGCTGCAAAATGGGGACCAACTCCATATTGATCCCCTTGGATTTAGAATGGGATGTCATAAAAGTTCCTGTACGAAATTGTACCAATTCCTGTACCAATTCTTTTGGTCATATAGTCTACATAAAGTCTTACGGCAGATGGAGAAGTCATGCCCATCTACAGTGGCAGTGCAGGGTCATGGGGACCCCAGAGCATCACAGTACATCGTATCACTTGCAGTTACTTGGCTCACACATGCATCTAAAGTTTTATCAGCCAAATCCGGTTTGATGCACCAATAAACTGGTAACAGCTAACAGTAGGTAGTGCCTTTGATTTCTTCCTTTCTTCCTTTCATGTCCTTGTCCCAACATGCAATGTGCAACATGGAACACATTCCCGCATATGGAAACAAAGTGGCACGAACAACATGGAGGAGCTGGTCTCTAAAAAGAATTCAGCAGCAGCAATAAGATTCTTGTGTCGATTTTCCAAAACCGAAACAGCACAAGTTACCCTATAGGCCTATTTTTTTTTTTATTGGGGAATTAGTTTGGTTGTTCTGTTCAGTAACTTGCAAAATGGCCTTAAAAACCAATATGAAAAAGAATCGTGACAGGACTGCAGATCGCGATCCTGTCTGAAAAAAATTGTGATATGATATTTTTGTCATGTTGCCCACCCCTACTTTTGAACCCCTAAAATTTTCATGATTGGGCACGGGACACAAGCTCAGGCCTGATCACTCTGTAGCTGGTCACCTTTGATGAGGGTGTCTAGTGTTGAAAGGCCGAAACACCCTGTGGTTCAAAGGCACACTACTGATGATGTGTCCCAAAATTTACATCTTCCCCATGTCTGAGATACAGTTCCCATTCCTCTCAACATCAAGGGAAACCTTATGTGTACCATCCATTGGCACAACGGACAGTTTAACATCACGTCCTGTGTTTCATGATTCTATGCTTTTCTCAATATTAGCATAGTTCATGAGTTTAGTATTACCCACTTTTAAAAAGTCACTATGTATAATAGGCACTTATTTTTGTCTTTTGCTTCAGAAAAGGAAGCATATAACCCCAAAAAAGCTGGCATAAAAGTGTCCAGGTCCTTAGTGGGTGTACTATAATTACACAGTACAGTACTGAGGTGACCCATGGGGATAGTTTTGTTACTCAAGCAGTCTTGGTAGTGTATTTTAGTGAACAATACAATAATTCACCATTACTTTCTGCTGCTCTCAGCACAAACAATATTTCTAGTCAGGGTTGTTAACGTACCTCTCATAACTCCTCTGGGGAGCAGACCTGTATCCTGGTCCTCAACACTATCTGATATATTGATCTGATTGCTGCATTATCTTCCACATACATGTTTGCTCATGGCTTCTATGACTTCCAAAATACATTCCCTCTGCATTGTCTTGTTTTTCTCATTACTCTCTTATGACTCGTTAAACGATTCTTTTTAAACAGAGAGGCTGCAGTTAAAACTACACTGCATGCTGGCCCTGCATGCACTCTGAAAAGCCAGTTCTAAATCTCGAGGTTTTCCTACCGAATGTGCTGCCACCCTCTGCTGGTCACATCCTCTCACTGCTTGCACTTGTTTTTTTTAAACGTATCGGAATATGGCATATATGATCCTTTATTTCGTGAATAAATTGTTTGAAGACACATACTTGTTAACGCAGTTAACTCATTCCGTATGAAAGTGGCGTTTCTCTTCCAAATTCATATTATTTGTGAATAAAAAATGTTATTTAGATTTTCACTGAATATATTACTGCGTAAAAGCTAACCAACCCGAAACCCGGACCAGGATCAACTAGAGTTGGATGTCTTGAGACAGCTTTTACGTGGTCTTGGTCTTGTCACAGTCTCGACGGTCTTTGGTCTTGTTCTTGTCTTGGTCTCGGATCCCTCGGTCTTGTCTTGGTCTCGCTGTCTTGGTCTTGCTGTCTCAGATCGACATAGTGGTCGGGAGATTTGGAGCGAAAAGTATCCATGACACAAAACGTAACGTTCGATAATGCAACATTATTATTATTTCGCCTTTCGCACCCTTCAAATGTAACCAATCAATGATATACATGCATTTTGTTGTGATTTAGACATTGGTGCTCATCCAATCAAAATACACGTTAAACTCGCAAAATAAGTGTAGCGCTAGTTAAACGTTAGATCCAGCATCACAGGCTATAAGATGTTGCAATCTTTAGTTTTCCTGAAGTGCAATCAACCACTATTTTAAAATGTGAACTGTTTTCTCTCTCTCCCTCCTCTCTGAAAATATGCATATTAACAGTGATGCTCTCGTTCTCTCTCTCTCTCTGCTTTTAAGTATTTCATCTATCTGTTTTAGTTTATCAATCTGTTATTTGTCCATAATGTCTGTGTTCCATTGTTCTTGCCCTACTGAGCAACAGGCTTGATATCATTGGCAGTGTGTTGTCACTGCAGACATCAAGATGTCAGAATGTTTTAAGCACTTGTCCTTATTTTTATTAATGCACAATGTGATGTGCAGTTTGTATTGGTATATAGTATTTGTAGTTTGCATTTGATGCAAGTGACGTGTGCACATGTCTTTATATTGTTTGATTACAGTATTTTACTTAAAATGGTGTTGATTAAATAAATGTAACCATTGGATTTCAAATAACATCTGCATATCACATTGTGTTGACTTAACAGGCCTAATCCATTTCAGGGCTGTTGATATCATACAGTGTCATTTGGCTAGTACTACTACAATGGGACATGATGTAATTTCAAGTTTATAATTGTGTGTCTTCAATTTGATGTTACAATTTCATCTACAAATTAAGTATAATTGAAATCAGTTACATATTTCCCTTTCTATAGACAGTTGATGGAGGTGTTAGCTGTTTTGTCAGATGATTTTGGGACCAGTCAGTACCCATCATGTCAGTCCTCAACAGCACACAAAAGTTAAGGGAGTCTTTTTTTTCGGTCTTGGTCTTGTCTCGACTTTGTCTTGGTCTTGGCTCGGTCTGTCTTGGTCTCGATACCCTCTGGTCTTGGTAGTGTCTTGGTCTTGGTTTAGGCAGTCTTGACTACAAGTCTAGAATCAACTGTTGAAAACTCCTTGGATGGATGGATGGAAAGCTAAGTGAGCCACTAGTAATGACTTCAAAAACAGTATATTCTCCAGTAACATACGTCCAAATGTACCAAAGTCCCCCAATAGTACATAGACATAGACATTAGGCTAACTTTTATTTCTAAATTGCCGATAGGGTATACTCCTGCCTTGTGCCCTATGCAGCCTTACTTGCAACTCTGTTCTGATAATAATGCATACAAGGCCGGCCCTAGTTTTAGGTAGAATAGGCAGTAGAATTACCTGGGTTACGAGGGACGTGAAATGATCATCATTTTTCATGCTAGCGGCGGCTCCCAAGTAGGCCTAAAGCCTTGCCGTAGGGCCACTCAAAATTAGATACTTGGTTGGACAAAACAAGAATAAAGGTATGTTGCATAAAATGCACATATGAAATTCGATATAGATTATAAATATGACTAAAGCTATCGGGTTTTAAAAAGACCCACAGTGACACATCCATCCATCCATCTATTTTCCGAAACCGCTTATCCTGTCCTGGGTCGGAGTCCCAGGCTACGGGCGCAGGGCAGGTAACAACCCAGGTTGGGGTGCCAACCCATCGCAAGGCACACTCACACCATTCACGCACACCTACGGGCAATTTGGTAACTCCAATCAGCCTCAGCATGTTTTTGGACTGTGGGGGGAAACCAGAGTACCCGGAGGAAATCCCACGATGACACGGGGATGACATGCAAACTCCACACACGTGGAACTCTGGCTCGAACCCAGGACATTGACACATATTTGATATATTCATTTAATCTTATATTCAGTTGAGCTTTATGTATTTCCATATAAGAACTACTACATTAATTTTTACTATATTTTATAGAGATAATATTCCTTAAAATCAGATTCTATCTGGAAGACGCCAACAACTTTATCTGATTAAATGAATTGAAGTGCTGCAAACTTACGGACTACAATTCCCATGAATTACCATTCACATGGACTACCATTCCCATGGAGCTCAGCGCTCCGTCACCCATCGTAACGTCCGGCCGTGGCGCTGAAGGTTCTAGTCAGCTGGCCGACACCGATGCGATCGTAGTCTGGGGGACTTGCAGCGGCCGTGGTGAAAATGCGTTGGTTTGAGGGCTCTATCCCTGCGGCCATCGCCTCCGCCAAACAGCAGAATGCCGTCTTCCTCGTCGTTATCACAGGTAGCTTGCTGTGGCACGGCTCTTGTGGCGTAGGGCGGCCCGGTCAGGGGTGGAGGAGGCCTGGCTGCCTGAAACCAGCACTGTCATTACCTCTAGTTAGTCGCTGGTCAAGCCGGTTTACCGCGGCGCTGGCGAGTTTGTCCCATCAGATCACGATTGCCTTTTCTGCGCCATATTGAAGTTGAAATAAAGTGTAAAGTCGGTGGAAGCATCCCGTCTGGCTAAATTTAAAACGAGCTGACCGCTTTCGCTTCGCCCGTCGCTGTAGTGTTATATTAATAGACATTTAGCTGTATCGCCCAGATTAAAGCGCCCGGTCCCCTCCCCGTGACAGACCCCGGACTTAGCGCCTGGACGTTAAAGTGTGCGGCTTTTCTGTGAGCCCCCGCCCCGCTGACTGACAGCCGCTTCCCGACTCCCCGATACTGTGTTTTAGGGGAGGATGAGCAGTCCTCACAGATGACCGCCAGCTGGGAGGACGACAGTGTGGCCGAGGCTACCAGAAGCTCTTTCGTCGCGATTAAAGTAGATGCCAAGAGGTATGCGACTGTCACCACCGACCTGCCATGTCTCACTTTGCGAACGGATACGATGATATTACCTATGTGAGTCTGTCTGATTACCTATTTAGCCTTGTCTTGATTTTTCTTTTCTTTCTTGCAGTGAGACATGTGTACAGTTTTCTCAGATATGTATCCTTTTTGTAAGCTTTGCGTATGAATGTAATGCCCGGTCCAATGTGGCCATGCCAGCACCCTTAAGACCTCCCCTGAGTAACACCCCTTCACACGTTCCTTAACCCGACTTTCAAAGATCCCGTAGTGTGTATCCCCTCCAGCTTCTTCATCGGAGAGAACGGAATCCCCCTGGAGGTGATCGCCGGCAGCATGTCAGTCGAGGAGCTCGTCAAGCGGATCTCCAGAGTCAGACAGGTGGAGATCGGTCCCCCCTCCTTACAAGTGTCCTTGTCATAATCACCCAGGTTAACACACAAGGTGTCCTAATCATGAGAACAGGTGCGTCAGGCTGAACCGTGTGACTCTGGGTTGTTTTGGCCAGATGCATGACCAGCAGATGGGCACACCAGACAGGGCTGTGGCAGCTGCTGCTGCGGGTACACCTGCTGCTACTGCTCCCCTCCAGCCCCCTGTGGCCCAGGACCCAGTTGTACAGCAAGTGCCTACCCTGTCGGAGTCCCAGGCCAGCCCGCCAGCAGAAGACAGCAGTGTGGCTTCACCTGCTTCAAAAGGTGAGGGGGACTCGGCATTAGCCTCAGACAGTATGGCTCCCTCTGTAGGTGAGGGGGACTCAGTGGTAGTAGCCTCAGACACTTTGACTCCCTCTAATGTGAGGGGGACTCAATGTTGGCCTCAGGCACTATGGCTCCCTCTATAGGTGAGGGGGACTCAATGTTGGCCTCAGGCACTATGGTTCCCTCTATAGGTGAGGGGGACTCAATGTTGGCCTCAGGCACTATGGCTCCCTCTATAGGTGAGGGGGACTCANTCCCTCTATAGGTGAGGGGGACTCAATGTTGGCCTCAGGCACTATGGCTCCCTCTATAGGTGAGGGGGACTCAATGTTGGCCTCAGGCACTATGGCTCCCTCTATAGGTGAGGGGGACTCAGTGGTTGCCTCAGACACTATGGTTCACTCCATAGTAGTAGTAGTAGTAGTAGTAGTAGTAGTAAGTTTCATTTATATAGCGCCTTTCATACACTCAAGGACACTTTACAATTTAACAAAAAAAAAAACATATTTAATGAGACAATACAAGTCAGATGAATAATATCCATTGAAGAGATGTATTTTTAACAGGAGTTTGAAATGGATAATATATTTTTCTTCACAAAGACAGAGGAAGAGCATTTCACTAAAGGGGCTATTGCACTAAAAGCTCTGCCATCCATAGTTGATAACCTGTGCTTAGGTATGGTGAGTAAGTTAACATCAGATGATCTTAGTACGTGGGCTGGACTGTAAGGAAGCAGTAACTCAGACAGATAATAAGGGGCTAAAGCAGGGATCACCAACCTTTTTGAAACTGAGAGCTACTTCAAAGGTACTGAGCCATACGTTGGGCTACCAGTTTGAAACGCCCTCCTAAACTTATTAGTATAATAAACATGTTTTAAATGCTTTTTTTAATATGTTGTCACTTTCAAATCTATATAAATGCAAATGTGATTAAAGAAGAATAGCAACAGGATAAAATTAAATCTTAGACGCTGCTCACTGGTGAGTTGTGCCATTTTTAGAACAGGTCCACGGGCGACTCATGTGGTCCTTGGGGGCATCCTGGTGCCCGCGGGCTCCATGTAGGTGACCCCTGGGCTAAAGCATGGAGGGCTTTGAAGGTGACGAGTATATTTTTATGTTTGATTCTTAAATAAACTGGCAGCCAGTCATAGAGGACAGGAGTGATGTGAGCAGATTTTTTAGTTTGTGTAAGTAAACGAGCATAGAATTCTGAACATACTGTAATCTATTGACATATTTAGTAGGAAGACCATAAAATAATGCATTACCATCATTCATTTGGGTAGTGATGAAAGCATGAATTAGTGTTTCGGTATCTTTCACACTGAGGAAATAGTGCAGACAAGCAATGTTACGGAGATGAAAACATGCTGTCTGTACTATTCAGCTGATGTGTGGTTGGAAGGTAAGAAGCTGATCGAAGATGAGACCCAAATTACAGACTGATACTGAGGGTTCCACCAGGATCCCATCAACATCAATTTTTAGGTCACGAAGGGTAGAGAGGACAGATTTAGTACCCACATATAGGATTTCAGGTTTTATCAGGGTTAAGTCGTAAAAAGTTAGCTGTTATCCAATGTTTGAATTCATGAATGCAATCAATCAGTATGGTTGGCGATGAGGACACAGTTGGATCGACACGTATATAAAGATGTGTCATCGGCATAGCAGTGGAAGCTGAGACCATAGCGATGAATAATTTCACCTAACTAGAGCATGTAGATGTTGAAGAGACTGGGACCTAGAACTGATCCTTGAGGGGCAACTTGTATCAGTGAAGCGGTGACAGATTTATGTTCCCTAGGTGGAACATAAAGAAAACTGGTCAACTGGGAAACATGTTTCTGGTCTGGGTTTCAGGTTGGTTAACTTATACGCAGTAATATATTAATTGAAAATTTAAATCACATTTTTTTATTCACAGATTTTATGGATTTGGAAGGGAAACATCACTTTCACATGGAATGAGTCATGTCTGTGTTAAAGAGGCCTGAGTTGGACTTCTGTCATATGGTTGATCCTTTTTTGTTTTGGATCGTATTTCATTGTAAGAAGTGGAAAGGTCTTTTCAGGAAGTGATGAGAGGGTTAGGGATCATTGGTTTCATATCTTAAACGTTACATTTGCATAAATTGTAGCCGAGGCATTTATCCAATGTGATTTACCTTTGACAAATCTGGGTCATTCAGTCCCTGAAACAGTTGTGGTTAAGGGTCTTGCTCAAGGGCCCAACACTGACATAACTGCACCCTTGCAGGGTCTCAACCTCCTGAGCCACACACTGCCCCAGAAACTAAAGCTAAGAGGGACACACAGGACCTGTAATGCTCCATGTGTAACTGAAAGTGGCAGTTTGCTCATGCTGTAAATATCTACCTTCTGCCTTCAAGCGTAACAGTTATGTTTTCCAGTTGACTGAAGTCAGACTGAATTTTGTGATTCTTTGTAGCAGTGAATATAGATATGGTAGGAACTGCTGAGGTGTACATTAGCAATTAGCTGTATGTCCATACATCTTCCAGGTCCCCTTATTCAGTCCAGGGGCATTGTGGGCCTTAAGCCTACTGTAAGGGACACACTGGACCAGAAGTCTGTTTTGTCCATACAGTGCAGTGTTAGACAAACAGCACATGTGTGCTTTGAATTTTACAGAGCTTATCAGGTTCAGTACAGTGGGCTAGTTACTGTTGAAGCCTCAGTGTACAGCTCTGTCCTGGTTGGTCCATCCCAACACGATGTCCCTTCAACACTGTCCCCAGAGCCGCTGTCTTGTCCAGTGGATGATGGGGGGCCCTCAGGCCATGCCACACCCTCTGATGACAGGAGTTTGTCGTCAGATGATGTTTCTCTCAGCTCCCAGTCTGACGAGAGCCTGAATGCCAAGGTGGAGAGGTGAGTCCCATCGGGGCCTGGGTGGGCAGGTACGGAAAGGTGCCGGAGGTCTGTTTGGACTCCATAGACATTGATTCTGCTACTGTCAAACCCCCTTCAGGCTGACAAAGAAGCTGGAGGAGCGACGGGAACAGAAAAAGAGAGGAGAAGAGGAGGTAGACTCTTGTGATGAAAGCACATTCTTTAGCAAGGAGTATTACGCCAGGAGCAGCCATGACCTCCTCGGGCCATTGTGACTTCAGTGGGGGTCACTGCGCATTTATTAGCCGTTTAATTTTGCTATGGCCTGTTCTTGGTGCTGCTGTGATCTTGGCCAACCCCTCCCTGTCTGCTCTGCCCAGAATCAGATAAGGAAGGAGGTGGAACGGAGGAAGCTTGGCAAGGAAATGCTGGACTACAAGAAGAAGCAGGAGGGTGAGCGCACCAAGCGCATGCTGGAGGAGCGCAACCGCGAGAAGGCAGAGGAGCGGGCAGCACGGGATCGTGTGCGTCAGCAGATAGCGCTGGTGAGGGGGCGCTGTGGGGGCGAGGGGCCTGGGGTGAAGGGGCAGGGGAACTAGGTAGAAACCGGGTAGTGGCTATTCTTCCAGGATCGGGTAGAGAGAGCGGCTCGTTACGCCAAGAGTACGGAGGAGGCGGAGGCAGCGAAGGTGGCGGCACTTCAGGCAGCGAAGGCGGAGCAGGAGGCCCGGAAGGAGGCGCTGCAGAAGGAGAGGAGGTACAGTGGATCCCCCACTGTCAGAGTGAGAGGAGCCATTGGGAGGTTTGGCCATACCCGGGCCGTGGGCCACTCATTGTTCCCGTGATTTTGGACCCCCTCCTGTTCTGTCTCTTCAGTGCTGTGGCCCGGATACAGTTCCGCCTCCCAGACGGCTCTTCTTTCACCAACCAGTTCCCCTCTGAGACCAGGCTGCGGGAGGCCAGGGAGTTTGCTGCCCAGGTGTGTCCATATCCTTGCCCCGTTGTCTCATTGGCCAAAGCATTCTGGGGGTGGGGAATGTCAGGTTAAACAATGACTGATTCCTGTTTCCCTGTCGCATTGGTGGGTCTAGTAGCAGCATGTTCTCCATTTTTGCTGTTAACACCTGGTATTACAGATCTGAATAGGACGGCCGGTGTTTGTAAATTTCCTGAGTGTTTTTCACACTGTTGTCTGATGGTCTGTAACTGTACAGAAACATCCACAAGTCCACATTTAGATGCTTGTACATCATTTACTTTCACAGCAAGCGGTGTGGTCGTCAGGATGAGTGCTGTGACCCGCTCCTCCTGTGACATCGTGCTCCATGCTTAGTCCTCCCAGTGTTGATCCACATCAACTTCCTGTCTCTCTCTGTGCAGGAAGTAGGGAACCGGTACGGAAACTTCTCCTTGGCCACCATGTTCCCGAGGCGGGAGTTCACACAGGAGGACCTTGACCAGACCTTGCTGGAGCTGGAGCTGGTTCCCAGTGCCTCAGTGGTGCTTCTTCCAGTAAGTGGTGTCCCCCTGAATTCCAATCAGGGCATCACTGCAGACTGTACACATTCTATCACTGGCGTGAGAGCAGGATAGGTGGGTGTAGGCTGTCCCCCTCTAGACATGCCTTTTGGGGGGAGGGGGGGGGTCTCCAGCTGACAATGCGAAGGACCCAGCATTTAGCTTCCAGTTCCACTGTGATCTGGCCCCCCAGTGCATGGAATTGGTGGGTTGTCACTGCCCCCTTTGTACTCCATTTCCCCCCGCATCTGCTTAGGTGAGCTGATGTCTCTGTTTTGCTTGCTGTGAGTGTCTGTGACCCCTTCCTGGGTGTTCTGTACACCTTCTGCTTCCCGGCACAGACTCCAGTTCTCAGAGAACCTGAACTGTAGGGCAGTTTATGGCAGATGGATAATGGACTTGCATGTTAATCATGAGCTCCACATAACATACCAGCTTTACGGAGAGTTCTGGGTACTTTACGTGTGGATTACACACTTTCCTGCCAGTTCCTCCCAGAGTGGGACCAATGAAATGAGACTAGTGTCAGGCAGCCTGGTCCATTGGGGGTAACCAGTAACCAGGGAGCCCTCGGGACCAGCTGAGGGTGGACAGTTACTGGTGCCGTTCTGTGACCCGTGTCCTCCATTTGCTTCCTGGTGCAGGTTGGCCGGCCTGCTAACACAATGGTGCCCTCCTCGGCCGGGGGCTTTTGGTCGGTGCTGGGCACCATCTTTTACCCCCTGCTAGCCGTGTGGAGATTCATAAGCAGCTTCCTCTTCACTACCCCGCCGCCCCCCGGCTCCGCTTCCAGCGTCCCGCCACAGCGCCCCGGACCTTCCACCGTATCGTCTGGCGAAGCAAAACGGTGATGCTCAGATTGGCAGTTATGACTGGCCAATCCGCCGCCACACAGTTTAGGTTATGAGGTCACTTCTTGTAAAGAAGAGTAATGAAGAGTGACATGACTGTACAATAACACAAAGTCAGTAGGCCCCAAAGCCATTTTGTGTCGTTTATTTTGTGTGTAGTGGATAAATATTTAATAGCTGCATAAATTGTAAAAAAGGTTTCTGCACTTACTGTGCTTGAACTATATTCATGATTGTCATTTGTGCATTCAGGGAACCCATTCGCAAACGAGTTTTGGAAAAGCGAGCGGATGACTTCAAAAAAGATGGGAAGATCTACAGACTGAGGACGCAGGAAGACAGTGAGGACGACAACAACACCTGGAACGGCAACTCCACCCAGCAGATGTAGCTGGTTGGCCCTCAACACTGTGCAATAACCAATCTCTCTCTTGCGCTCTTTCTCTCTCTCTCTCCCATTGGTGGAAACTGCTTACTGGCCGCACGGTGCTCCAATACACTCACGCCCTGGGCGTCACCTGCATGGGCACTTATTATTGAGTCGTGCCCAGTAGCTTAAACTCCGCCTCCATATCTTGTCACCGTTTTGTGTTTGTGGACTGAGCTGGTCTGGAGCGCTGACATATCCTGGCCTGGAGACCGTGGCTGCAGGTCCATCAATCTGAGTGCTTGCCTGACCATGTGACCTGCTAACAGCATATCGTAGCCATGACAGCGGTTTAGTTTAACGATGATGTAACCCCAAAGCCTCTTGGGTGGGTGTCCCTGTTTTATATCCAGCTTTCTGTTGCCCCCATGCATGTATAGTCTGCTACAGCAGCACTTTTTCTTTTAGGTGAAAATGAGAATAAATTTACAGCTCATTTAATATTATGAATAAAAATTTTTCAACAAGCCACTTTGATTCCAATTTGCATGATGAGATCTAGTCATGGCAGCGCTCAAATCACATTTTTGGAGCACATTGGCAAGCAGTAATTCCCTTTACCTTGCAAAAGATTGCTTCTAGATTTTAACATTGTTCTCATGATATGATGAGCACCAGAGGGTGCTGTTTAAGCAACAGGGTAACATTGCAAAGTTTTAACCAAGAAGGAAAGATACCAATAATTAGAGTAAGTGATTGGAGAGAAATCTGCTCTGCATGACAGACATCTCTTAAAAAGGTGCATTTTTAAAAGTGAGAGTGAAAAACCAGCAGGAAGTATAAAATTATGATCTTTGTCAATTGTGACGTCGCTATGAATTATGTCCGTTAGGTGGCTGTACTTCCTCAAATGTACTTGCCGACAGAAAATTTGGTTTCAAATATAATGGTAAAGAGCCATTTTATCCTCCCCAGACGTAGCATGAAATTGCCTCCATCTTTTGGGGTAAAATATGATGTAGGGCCATTCAACTGAAATTGATTTTTAAAAATTAATTTTGAAATGGAAAAACATTTGTTTTCAGAACTGACTGCACATTATTTATGAGCAAGTGATTATTCTTAGCAATAAACTGGTCCACTATGAGTTATTCACTTGCGGTAAATCAGTTTGTTATCGATCGAGAGCAGTGAGCTGGGCAGGTTATAGGTGGGTGTAGCCCATGTTTCTGTCTCCATCAAGCTGCTCTAAGGCACGTCAGACAAGATACACTTAAGTCTCTCATATTTCTGTGTTCATCCTTCAAACCCTGAGACCACCTCATCTGCGAAGAGCCGCAGGGCACAAAGGTGTGAGGCGTTGGTGACGTTTAATGTGACCTGGTGCTCCCTGAGTGAACTGTGATGCAGGGTCCTGGTGTCACAGCTCTGCATATCTGCCACATGTGCATCGTGCCATCTGCACAGTGCTCTGGGGTTTTTATAGCCCCTGATCCTGGAGGAAGGTCATTTCAGCTCCCCCTGTTCCTGCACATAGACAGTAGATGGCTTGACTTAATATTTGCAGTGAGGTGACACAATGGACCAGAATGTCCCATGTTGGGGTTGTAAATCATCTCCCCGAAAGTTAACTCTATGATCCATTCAGAGAGAGGAACTCCAGTCCAGCATACAGCCCTGCCCAGGACTGATAGTGTCTTCTGTGCAGAAGAATTGTCTCACCACCTGTTTTCCTGTGAGGCGTCCGGGCTGAGACCTTTACGAAGAGCCTTTTCCCAAGGCCAGAATGAAGACACAACGCCAAAGGCTTGCTGACACTAATTACATTTGCACAGCTTGGCTAATGGATTAATTTAATACTATAACGGCATACTGTGGTCAGTGAAGTTTTGACCTTCAACTGTTCATCAAGCTCTATAATCTTTGTGTGAAATAGACTCAGTTCAAATGGGTGAAAATGAGCCAAAACCGTACACGATTGGGACATCCTGTATTGGTGGTTGAGTGTTTGTTTAATTTAGCTTGCTCTCTTAGTGTCATCAAACCGTAAATGTAAATAGTTGAAGCAGTTGTAAGGAAATCACTGGAATTCTGCAGTGAAAAGAGGCTATTTATTTAACCCTCTGCTGTTGTAGCATCAGATTAGGGTACATCACAGCTGACAGCATCCTGGGAATGTTGGAAAACCCCGGAGACTCATCGGTGTGAAATCAGATGGGAGCCCGCAGACCCCAACCATTGGCTGTCAGTGCAGGCTGAGACACCGCATTACATCCAGGGTGGGGCTTTTGTGCATGTCTTTCTGTTTCAAGCAAACTATTGTTTTTGGAGGTTACCCACAATGTGAGGACTGCTTCTTCAGTGTGTGTGGTTATGTGGGTTAGCCTGCTGTGCTTGTGATCAGAAAGTTGGTAGTTCTGATCCTGTGGCAGTCAGGGTAGTTTCCTTTGGATGGAAGTGTCTGCTAAATAAGTAAAATGCATCCCTGTGGATGTTTATAAACGCATGTGATTCCAGCTTCACATCCCATCATGAGCTGCATATTAAACATACACCAGACCTCTATTTCAGCAAGGCCTCAGTTACTCTGTCCCTGTTTGACCTCTCACACTGTGTGTAGCTTAAATTTAGGCTATTTACCATCTAACACTCATAACTGAGTTATTTTTAAAGCGGTAAAAGGACATTTCCATATGAAGTGATCTCTGTGAAGTCTGATGAGAAAGATGAGCTCATAATTGTTATTATTGTATTATCAGATGGGAAACAGGAAAATCACACATTTGTTCTGGTCCATTCTCAGCATGCAGTGGCCATCGCCATCATGGCTGTTCTATTGCCCACTGGAACTGGGGTTGTTTAAGGAATAATTACTCCCCACACAAAGCGCGTGAGTTTAGACAATCAGACGGAGTCCACTGTGACAGACCGTGCTTGCAGGACACCCTGTGGAGCCGCATTTGTCATCATGTTCCTTGGGGCTGGGTAATCAGCACCAGATGGGGAGGGTACTGCGCCCCAGTGCAGGGTCATGGCTCGCTGTGACTCCCCCACCAGGCATTGCTCAGAGAGGAGGTGATTGGCTGCAGCCGGAAAGGAGTGTGGCTTACGCTGTCCACTTTCCTGTGCTGGTTTTGTTTTGTTCATGGTGCTTCTTAGATTACAGTCCATCCTCTTCTCGTCTACGTTTTGAACAGCTAACTGAAAGACAGACATGGCGTCTTCCAGCCGGAGAGGGACAAACAGCGGAGGTCCAAAGAAGGCAGCGGATTGGGTTGAACCACAGGCTCAGCGTTTCTGACAAACTGCTGTCACACACCTTGTTGTTTTCACATGGATAGTTTGACCATATTCAAATGGTCTGACTGTGGGATGTGACCCATATCTTTGCTCTCTTCTCCTGAGTCAATTGACCATTCTGTGCCCTAACCATATCCTAACCCTAATCATAACCCTAACTCTAACCAGAACTAGGGCTGGGTAATATCATATCGATATTGCATCGTGCATGTGCAATAATCACCAGGGCTTCAGATGACAGGCGCAACATTTGGCCATGCGCCAGCTTTTCGGTGAAATACGGACATTTATTTACGCCCACAACTTATAAGCAGTTTAGTAGTATGGCTAAAATATTAATGAGGCTTTGTTTGACGCCCAAAAGTCATTATTAGTATAAATACGGCATATCCTTATGTTTAATAAATGTGTCAGACTTTGAACTGCAAAGAGTAGTGTTGTAGTCAAGACCGCCTACACCGAGACCAAGACATTGCCGAGACCGGAGGGTATCAAGACCAAGACACTGCCGAGACTTGAGGGTACCAAGACCAAGACCAAATCTGGTCGTGACCAAGACCAAGACTGAAAACAGACTAGGTCTAGAATCGACATCACATTACCCAGATCAACTGTAGAGAAAAAAGGTATTGTTGTAAAGTGTCATTACTCATTAAATCAAATTCATGTTATCTTTTCAATTATATTGTCCATATGTCCATATGTCTCTCATTTAAAATCTCCCAGATTTCTCATAGTTACGAGACCTGATGGAAAATAATATTCTCAGCAATCCTCTCCTATACCCATTTTATCAGACCTCGTCAAGGGAAAGAGATGGGATGTACCAGAAAGATGTTCATATTAAGTCTTTTATACCAGGGACAGAGGCCTCGGGTAAGCTATGAATACAGCTATGTAATGATCCTTTGCTTTGAATTGAAGAGAATGGAGAGAATGAGCCTCCAGATTGACTTGCACCTCTAAGACCGTGCTTTGTAATCAATGTAAAATACCTAATTTATTTGGATTATAACTATTCTATAGACTTCGCGGACATTTTCAGACATTTCTTTGCCGATGTATGATACGATGTATGATGTGTGTGGACTGTGAAGCACTGGCAGTGTCCGTGAAGAAAATGTATAAAATGTAACATTTTTGAAATGGATGCATCTGACTGGTTGCATTTGAATTGAGGCGCGTAATAAATAATGATACTGTTCTGTGAGGATGTGCAGTTTTCTCTTTTTTTCCCCATCCCATCGAGACCGCTATGTCCGAGACCAAGACAAGACCGAGACCAAATAGAGTCGAGACCAAGACAAGACCGAGACCAAATAGAATGGAGACCAAGACAAGACCGACACCACAAAAAACTACAACACTAGCAAAGAGTACCACCACACCGCCGACGTCTTTTTACCTTGTTTATCCACAAGATCTCCTCTTTTAAAAGATATCGTGGCTGCTCTTCTTCACCGCGACTTAAGTGCATATTGCACTGAGGTATACCAAACCGTAGTATACCAAATCGTAGTATACCAAAACAGTATTATGTGGTGTGCTACGCTAATCGATTTTAAGAAACATAAAGTTTATACAGATTACTAACTTTTGGCTATCACAAAACGCATCTCATTAATATTTAAGCCATACTACTAATCTTCTTACCAAATAATGGCCGTAAATAAATGTCCGTATATCACCGAAAAGCTGGTGTCCAGCCAAATGCTTCGTCTGTTATCTGAAGCCCTGGTGATTATTGCGCATGCGCGATATAATATCAATATGATATCGCCCAGCCCTAACCAGAACCCTAACCCAATGTTTGCCACATGGAGCATGACTCCCCTACTGGTTTCTTCTGTTGTCAGACACCAAAACTCCAGCCAGACCACTGACTGAATTCACTATATTTCTGTTTGTAGTTCAAGACAAACCGCCCACCAATAAAGAGGATCAAACACTGAGACAAATTCTTAGATATGAATTATTTAATTGCCAGACAGGAATCGCGGCCCCACTATTGCAATAATTGATGGATATATGATCTGCCCCAGCTTCCAGCTCCAACCGCCGTTCACACAATGCCTGTTTCTAGCCACTTTGAAGCATATTGCTTGGGGGCCTTGGGAGAACCTATCAGCTTTTAATTAGATCAGATCCAGGTAATCGAGGGGTGGTTGGGGGAGGGGGGACAGATTTTTATTGGTAGCCATTCTCTCTTATGGGGTAGACCAACAGTTGAT